AGGCCCATGGGAAGCTGGTGGGGGTCAGTCTCTTCTCACAAGTAACAAGTGATAGGGCAAGAGGAACGGCCTCAAGTTGCACCAGGGGAGGTTTAGATTGGATATCAGGAAAAATTTCTTCACCAAAAGGGTTACCAAGCACTGAAACAGGCTGCCCAGGGAAGCGGTTGAGTTGTCATCCCTGGAGGTATTTAAAGGACGGGTAGACATGGTTTAGTGGTGGTTTTGGTAGTGTTAGGTTAATGGTTGGACATGATGATCCTAAAGGTCACTTCCAACCTAGACGATTCTATGATTCTATAAATACGCCTGGTGCCCTCAGGCCCTAACACTTGAGATACCTTATGTTCTGTAGGTAAAAGATTTAGTCACCTAAGGATGATGCTGGGTGAAAGACTCTGCTGCTGTGCAAGTTATGGGAGCAACAGCTTCCCAAAAGCTTGTTTGTGCCGTGCTGAAGACACCTAACTCTCAACTTAACTGGGCTGTGTGGAGGGCTGGGAGGGGAGGGCGGGGGATGGTGACCAGGTTTCATCTAAAAAATAACATGTTAGAATCAAGTCCCTTCTTCTCTGGGTTTGGTTATTGCAGGTCCCAGAACAACTGAGCCCCAAGCCCCATTGTGCAATGAGCAGTGGACAACACACTGAAATCACCCCATGGTTGTTTTGCCAGTGGCTGGCTATGTCTCACACAGACATCCTCATCCCTTTCACCCAGGCGTGAATAACGCTTTCTGGTTCACCGAGCGTGCGATGGGAACGAAGCATAGGCACCTCCCTTGGTGCTCAGCACCATTTTGGGAGCCAGTCTCTAACTTTGAGCTACCACAGTGCCGAGCCCCACAATAGCTTTGGTCCTTTGTGGATTGAGCCAGTTATTCCTGAAAAGTGGCAATATAAATGTCACTGATCTAAAAGACAAACAAGCCAGTGCTGGAAATTTAGTATTAGGAATATATATATATAGTCATATATTTTAAATATGTATATATACACACAAAATAGAAAATAGAAAAATAGAAAAGGTAGGATTAATTTCATGCAACTCTAAACATCTATAACATAAATGCTTGTATCTGACCTAGCCACCCCCCAGCTCCCTTTGCTGTCAACGGAGGAGGACAGGCACGTTTAAGGCATAACACATCTCACCTGTTTTTAGATGTCTACCTAAGACGACAGAAATCCTGTCCTCTAAGGGACTGTTTCTCTCCTTCACTGACTAAAAGGACAGCCAAAGATGATTAGCCTGGATGCAGACATACGCCTTTAGGGGCATCTCATTCCAAGTCACCAAGGAAGGAAGATCAGCTTACCCAAACCTCTCCACATCAGAAATCTTCACACCTACCACACAAACACACAGAGACTTAGGAGCCAGTTGAAAGACCCCTTATAGTAATATTGACACCTCTGAGCAGAGAGTTTATTAAATACAGTTAAGTTTTAACTTATAAACAATGTTATATTTAGCATCATTTTCCCCATAACATTCCACAAGCAGAGTTGAGTCAGTTCTGCTACAGATATAGCTGAAGCCTCTGTTTGCTGAAGCAACTAGCCAAAGGCTCAGTGACCTCTGGGTGAGAAGAAACACGATGGACCTTTTCCTCTAAATACATAAATTAAATATGTTGAGCTGGAGCTATCATGAATGCCACAAATTACGCTACTGATGGAGATGAATCCGTGCACACCCTGGAATAAAAGCCCAGGAGTGCATTGGACAGCAGTGGGCTCTGCAGGAACCCAGTGGGAGAAACTGGTTGAGATCACCTCTGGTTTATTATTCACTGGGAAAGCAGCAGTAGCAGAAGCTCTGGTATCCATCTACTACTGTGCTATCTGCATCTAGCAACTTTGCATTTAATAGCCACAATCATATTCTGTACCATTTTTTTAAGAGGTGTTTATCTCTGACATTACAGCTGAAATGAAGACATCAGGACTCAAACATTTAATACAAGATGCTTTCTCTCATAGCTGTAACAGGAAACAGTAATTGCTATAACTGAGCAGTGGCCCATTTGAAAAAGGTTGGTGGTTAATATTTTAACCTATATATCTACCTTATCTTCAATCCCTTGAAGCAAATTCTTGATTACCCCTTTCTGAGGTTGCATAAGGGTAAACACTGTAACAGACTCTCTCTATATATTCAGTTCTCTTCTATATTTGGTCAAATTTTGCATTCTATGTTACAACTGCAATAACTATTTATACAGAAGCCCACAACAGCAGCTGCTAATTGTCCAACCATTGAATTGTGCCTCAGCTGTCTCACTGTGGTAAGTGTATTCTACATACACTTCACATACTCTTGTGCTAGAGAAAAATTAGATATGCCGGGATGTTGTATAGAACTTTGTGTCAGTGGAAAGGCTCATTATATTCATTTTGGATAATGCATCCTCTCTGACGTTAAGAACAAATAGATGGGATTTTTCTGTGCAGTAGAGAAGCTGCATTACCGAGAAAGCTGTCCTTCAAGACTCGGTAAGATCTCTGTGACCCTGCTTACCCTGACAGATTCAGTTCAGGTTTGCTTTATCTTCCCCAGTTACAATTTATGACCCAAGGCAACGATCCATCAAACCAGATAACATTACTTGGAGCTTACAATGGCAAAGGAGGGACAGCATTTCCTGCCACCAGTGAACAAGAAAACTCTATCATTACCCAATATAAGTTATCACGGTAGAAGATTATCCAAGAAAAAGATAGGTGTTACAGGAAACATTAAAGAGCTGCAGTCTATTGATGTGAGCGTTGGGGACCCCTGTGACAGAGCATGGCAACAAACCCAAAGTCCTTGCGAGTGCAGTCCTGACCCTACTGAAGTCAACAGCAAAACTCCCACTAATTTCAGCAAGCTGAAGGTTTCTTCTGGGTTCCATTTGTGGATGAATCACCACCTTATTAGTGAGTGGCAGATGATGTCTCCACTCTGCCACAATGCTCAACTGTAGAACAGAAACTATGGGAGTTACCTGCATCAGCAAGAGAGAACAATGCCAGTCTTAATGCGAGCGCTTGCATAGCACACAACCACTCTGAGACCGGAGGTTCTGGAGAAATGGGGGCAGCTGGGGAGCTCTCAGCTGCCTTCTGTTTGCCAGGAAATAACCTCATCTGGCAATTTATCATGGTGAGAAGTGTCAGGGAAAAAAATTCCTTCTATCAGAAACATTACTAGACAGTCACACTGGAATCAGAGTCCTGTAATGAAAAGCTAGTATTAAGGTTAGAGGGTCAGGAGCAAGAAATCTTCGTTGCTTGTTGAGGGTGCAGAAGGCATACACAGCCATCGTGAGTGATTATTCCCCTACAGATTGCAACCAGCAAGAAGAAATAAGGGCACTAAAAACAAGCTGGGGACAATCAAATTTGCAACCCTCTCCCAGACCATCACCAGCAAATTAGCATCTATCTTCAGTTGAAGGAAAGAGCTGCAGAACTGCAAAGGCAAACCTACCTCAGTTTTTTTATAATAATTTTTACTACACATTTTAAGCAAGAAAACATAATGCTTTATTGTATTTAGCAGCAGTATTAATTGCTTCTTTTCTTTGAACTCCATCCAGTTGAGACTAGCTGCTGATTTAAGAAGCTTGGCAACATCCCAAATACAGGGGTCTGATACCTCCTTGGAGGAAAAATAACCGTTTCACATCCAGCCCACTCCCAGCTCCCCAGTGATTCTGCCCAGCCCCCGGCGAGGTGTGACACTTATACACAGGGCAGGTTATTCATCAGCAGACACTTCTCATGCTTTTTTTTTCCTGATTTTCATTGTTCTGCTGACCTGCTGACTGCTGGTGAAAGAAAGTGACTTTCAGCTTTGCTCTTCTTGGAAGGCAGGTTTCTAATCTTCAGTTTTGTAAAATTCTGAGTGTTGAAGCAGAAATTCTGACCGTAATTGCTCAGCAGTGGTAATTTGTGATCAAGGAATGATCTGGCTCCGAGGGCAAGAAGGACAAACTACAAGAAGGGGTTAAACTGCCCTTGGTGATGAGATAAGAAGCAGCCTCAGCATTATCTTGTAGCCATCTGGAATGGGAGTGCTCAGGGGCCATCTTTGATGCCAGATGCCTGCTGCATCAGGCAGCAAAGCTGGGCTGGGGGATGGACCCACAGCCAGGCTGAGGTGCCCCATGCAACTGCTCTTAGGGCTGGTGCTGGTGTAATTGTGTTTAAGGAATCTGCTTGTGATGTATTTTTGCAGACTCCACATAGAACCACATAGTATCGCAGTAGGACTCTGCCCAATGTGTTGTTCATTAAATTTGTCTTTTCTATTGAAGCACAAACGTATGTTTAATTCACCTTGAGGGGTACCATAAAAATTTCCCAACAGTGTCTAAGGCTCAAAACCAGCAAACCAACCCAAAACATTTCCTCTGTTCAGTTACTCTGATTTAAAATCCCGTGGTTTTGAAGACCTCACTCAATCTTTTTATATTTGTGGTCTTCAGTATTCTGTACTTCACCCTGAATTTATACCTTGAATGCCCAGACAGGTAGCCTCCTTCATGACCCCATTAATTGTCAGAGAGAATGTGCAGTGATGCTGAAGTCTGCCTGCCTGGATGATACAGCCAGTACTCAGCCAGCGAGATGACCACAGTGCACAGCAGTCACAAGTGCAGAAACAGAGCAACAAATGTCTGAGGAAAGCGAAAGTCTCATCCAGCACCAGGGCAGACCAGAGGCAATGCTCCCCTTGCTCCATTCCCATCCACTTCCCTCCCTCCCTCTGTACACCCACAGAGTTACCAGCAGCGAGAACAGTCCCTATACCTCACACCCCAGATCACTTTCAGACCAAAAAAAGCCCACTGCCACGCTTTTCCCAAAAATCTGTTGTGACCTCTATTTTTTTTTTTCATCCTTTGTTTTTGATCTTTTTGTCCTTTCATAACCAGCCAAGCTTTCCCAAGGGTGGCTCAGCCTGTGCACATTGGGATGATCACGGTGGCTGCCAGGACAGCTGATGGGTTATGCCAGGCAGCTCCCCTGCTCCAGCACCTCCAGTTTGATGCCAGCACACTTCATGGCTGCCAGCACGCAATGACTGACTGTCCTTCTCCTCCCTGTCGACTCCATTCGGATGCAGTGAAGGCGTCTCTCTTCTTTGGGACACTGGTAAGGCATCAGGCAGGAGCACTGGGTCTGTTTCTCTGGGAATAAATGTGTTGGAGTTTTAGCTGCAAATGTCATGACTAAAAACATATTTCATAGTTTGACAACATTTCAAAGTCCAACAGGGAAAAACACTATTGGAAGTTCATGATAAGTTAGTTACAAAAAGCCTATAGCGCATCCACGAGATGGTGGGGTATTAGGAGCAGAGACAAAAGCAGCTTTAAATATCAGATTTTGCAGCTGTGGCCCATAGAGAAGCAGAAATGTAGTGTCTAACTATTTTTATCTACTGGCTTTCCCTGACCTTTCTTCTAAACAAAAAGATATTAAGTTGACTTTCTGTTCCCAATTATCCTTGCACACAATGTTGCTGTGAAATGGAGTCTTAAGGTCCATATTGTGTCAGCTCCTATTTCATTAAAGCTCCCTTTATGAATGCTAAGCTACCTGCTGCTGGCCTGTGGTATAACTCAGTCCTGCCGGTTATTTCATTACCCATTTCTGATCTAATCAGATTCTGACTCCTTATATTCTTTCCCAGAAATTCCCTAGGCAGGAAACGAAGTTTCTGTGTTCCCTTTCTTAAAACACATGAAAAATCTGTGTTTTCCTCCATTTAGCTGCTTTCACACGGTGTTGCAGTATCTTCTGCCTCTGTGTTGGTACCAACTACTCATTTCCGGGAAAACCAAAGCTTCCATTTCCTAAATATCTGTGCAAAAGAGGACTTCTGTGGTGATGGAGAGGAGGAAAGACAAAATCACACTTCTTGAGCACCACAATGGAAATGTATTTTATTTAATGTATTTTTCTCCTCTGTCTCTCATTTTTCCTCACTGAGTAGGGCTCCTCTGTAAGCTTTTGAGAGAAAAACACTGAGATACTGGCACAGGATCCAGCTTTAAGCCGCTTTCACAATGGGAGCAGCTCTAGGCTCCTTAGGGGTTCTGGAATAAATAAGCCCACCATTTATTTAGATCACAACCACCTTCCCAGGGGCCCAAGGTGCCTCGAGGCTCCAACACAGCGTGTCCCTCAAGGGGCACACCTGGTCGTGCCCTCTGCTTCAGCCCCACAAGGAACAACACCTCATGCGGTATTTAGAGCTACATCAAATCCTGTGCTGCAGGAATCTTGCATCTTCAAAACGGGGGTTTAGGATTGCTGCACACTGCTGTTCCTTTATTTATCTTAAGTAGACAAGGTGTGATAAGGATCTTATTTGTCTGTGGAAGCAAGTGAAGGAATGACCGTGGCTGCCACTCAGCCTTTTCCCGGCAAGAGACTGATGTGCACAGAGCTCGCCAGCACCTCAGACATTTACAGGAAAGCCCTCTGCTCTTATCACCAAGTTACACAGCAAATAGCCGAGTTGCTCAACAGTGTTTATAAAATAATCCTCTTAGGGATTTCACCAGCTTAGCTAGTTCATTAAAACTCTTGATAAACACAGTTTTCACAGATGGGTATTTGCAAATTTTACCATTAAAATCCCATTAAGCCTGATGGCCCTAGTCTTGCTTTTTAAGTACTATCATGATTTAATTTCATAATTTAATTATATGCTATAGAGGGTGTGGCCCAAATTAACTCTTGAAGTACAAACTAGTGGTTACAGAAGCCTCACAGGGAATGGGCGATAACATTGCCGACTACATTTCTGTGATTAAAGATTAAAATGTTAATTTTCCTGAAAAAGTTCCCTTATTCTCCAAGTTCCTTTTGTGCCTTACTAACAGGAAGAGGCAATGCTACAACACCCGTGCCTAAGGGGAAAGGCACATATCTAAGTGTAACACCGGGTAGCAGGGACACAGGACTGGCCATACTCCTCTCAGCATAAATGGCTCAGATAGACCACAATGCCTGTAAATCCCATTCTTGGAGCAGCGAAGGAGCCAGCACATTTTATTTTTAGATGCAAAGGTCTGGATAAATCCCACTGTTCAGAAGTCATACCTGGACACTCCTCCCAGTCATAGCAGGTGTCATAGCCACAGGGCACTTTCTTCAAGCTATCCGTAGAGAGCTTTGCTCTTTCAATAGCCCAGTCTAGGTTGGAATCACCGTGGCAAGGGCCAGCATGCAAGAAATGAAATGACTGCTCTCCGAGGCACATTTCAGCTGAATACTGACAGCTGGGCTTGGTCACATTCTGTTCAGAAACAGCATGTAGCACACAGATGTCTTCTGAGTAGTGGCTGCCCCAAGGGAAAAAGAAAAAATATTTTAGCAGGCTGTGGAACAATTCTGTGCTTCTAAACGCTCCACCAGCATTGGATGAAACACAGCAAAGCCATGGCCGGGTTGGACATCTGTCTAAAGACCTAAGGCTGTCCCAGCTACTGCAGGACCGGAACCAGATACAGCACGGTGCTGTGAGATGAGGAAGCTTTGGTCTGGTCCAACAGATGCGAGGTAAAGGACATGTGCCTGCACAAGAAAATGAGAGGTGCTGTTACCTCCACAAGGCATGGGAAAGTTCCACTGGCCCTGGAGTGGCTTGACTGAGTTAATGCAGACCTGCAGCTGTGTGTGCAAGACTGCTGCTGAGGCACGGTTATTTGGGGACCACTGGTAGCCAAGCCCAGCCATGCTACTCGTAATGTCTTTCTGTATTGCTCTTGGCTCCTGACTGGATTCGTTCCCAGCGAGTGCAGGCATTTCCAATTAGCACCATTTTGTTAAGCTTAGCCATTTCCCAAAGAGATGGAGCAATACAGCTCACCTTGTTTAGCCTCTTGAGTTAGGCTTATAGCTTTAGTCAACCAAACATCGCTAGTTTTCAGACGATTTGGCCTATAGACTTTTGCCAATGTCTATTACTCTCTGAACATGCTCTCTTTCTACTTGAGGCCTCTCGAAAGAGAGAAGATGCTTGGTTGTTTGGACACTGACATGAATGAGATGAATCCCATGCCAAGGGACTTGCCTGTGGTCACACAGGAGCCCTGTGGTGGAATGTGTGTTGATCTCAGCCATACAACAGCCCAGCTGATATTCAATCTGTGCTCACCTTTCCTATCTCCAGTCCCACACCACACCTCACCTCTGGCCAGTCATTTACTAAAAATCCTCTAGGATAACCCTCTATTCACTTGAAGGGTCAATGGTCTGCGCAGGTCATGTTGTGTAAAGAGACACTAAATCCAAGTCTTACACACTTAGACACTGAAACATACAGTGTATTTTGCAGCAAAAAGGTGTATCTGAAACACAAGGAGCATGACCTATTACAGCAAGGTGATGACAGTGAAAATATAGGAATTGGAAGAATAGAGAGAAGAAAAGGAAGAGTTGGGATCTCTAGTAGCAGATGATAATGTAGATTAGAATGATGTTCCCTGGTGTGCCATTTGGTTAATGTCATTGTTCATTTATTTCATATATAAATGGGACTGTAATTCGAACACAGAGGCACAGCTGGCTAATATCTGAACAGAGAGTAGCCCTGAATTGCTGTTGTCTTTTCTTACTGTCCCTGGTTTGTGTCACAATGGTCTCTTGGTCTATCAGTGGAGAAACTTCAACTTTTCTTTTTTCTAATGAAAATAATCAACTTACCCACAATCTTCTTTTGGAGACATACAAACACACTGAGATCCAACCTGCTTTTGTCCTGGCTTGCAAACACCTCTAATTTTAGTTTGCACATCTGAAGCAAAAGAGTGAGAGTTATTGTAACTAGTAATGAAGTAAACAGAAACATGTCCTGCTGTAAAACCTAAAATTGATTTATTTCAGTTTATCCCGTATTTCTCTCTTCAAAAGTTGCTGTGATTGGGATTCCACAAATACACAACAGTTCTTGCAAATATTACTGGAAAATCCTGTGCAAGAAAAGAAGCTAATGTTTCAATAGAACGCACTCTCCAACTTTACTGTCGTAAACCCTTGTTAATACAGCTGGGGTTTGGTTTGGTTTGTTTTTCAGAAAACTATTTCAGTATCTCAGTTTCATAATTAAAGTGTACAGTACATTGCACCCAAAAATTCTGAACTTAATGCAGAAGTTTGTGGCTGAAATTATATGACACTGTGGTAAGGACAAAGTAAAACCAAAATTAATGAATAGTTGCTGTATGTCTTAAAACCAGTCATCTGCCTCCTACTTCTAGCTAGCTAAGACAAACTGTGCTGTTAATACCAGCAGTATAGAAACCGTAAAGAATCTGTGGGCATACTAACCTTTTTCACATGTAATCGATCTCAAAATAGGAGGTGTCCAGGACAGGTCTTTCCCACAGGTATACTTTGTTTGACCCGTGACTATAAACCCAGCTTGGCAGCTCAGCGTCATGGTTTCACCAACGTTGTACTGCTGCTTAAATGGGGAAATCGTGACTCTGTCAGATGTTGGTGGCCTGAGGCATACTGAGGCTGCAATGGACAAGAAAAAAGTATTATTCTTGTTGGGTTTATGATGCGCACATGTTTACAGCAAGCCGTAATGCTTCGTCTGAAGAGCCATAAAGACATGCAATAACACTGAACATTTGACTGACATTCAAAACTAATAAATATTTTACATAATTAAGTCTAGAAATTTTCAGTGCACTGTGATAGTCTTTAAAAATAATTTTCGATCAATAGCTAATGAATTACAATGTGTTTCTAATGTATGCTAGTATGAGTAATTTAATTTTACTATTTAAAAATAATAAGAATTGCATTAACAGCATATTTTAATTTTTCTTTTGTAAATGAAGTTATTAACAAAACTATTTAAATGAATGGCAATAAAAAGCTCGCAAGTGTATTCAGGTAAATTTTTTTGATAAAATGAACACTAAGTCAATGAAATCACACTGAGTTCCAGAAGACCATTGGAATCTCTCCTGTTAGCAAACCCAGGTCAGTTCTGATCATTAATTGGACTATAAATACTTCAAGGCATTGATTTGTTGTGGGAATTTTCAAGGCAGCCTGGGGGGGACTGGCGTTCATTAGAGTCACATCATCCATTTAATATAAAAAAGGTAGACAAATTCCTCTAAGAACATTTTCTTCAGCATAACTGTCATCAACTTAAAGACATCTGTGTAAATCTGGAAACAAAAGATGTGTCCTTCTGTTAACGATATTTAAAACTAGACACGAGAAGGACCTCACAGCATCCGTCTGAGGGTTTTCTAAAGCACTGAATATTACAGTATCTTTACAAAGCACATAATAGGAGCACTTCTGAATTGGAAGAGAAATGATGTACTGACTCAGTAGGTTTTTGCCATCTCTACGTGAAATACCTTCTTAAAATGTTATCTTTTCAGGTATCATTACAGATTCTTTTTAAAAACTGTATTAAAATCTATTTTTTGTCTTTTTCTTCCACTTCTGTTTTGCTGCTGGGCTAAATTAGTTTTCCCTTTCTTACGTTGACATTCAACAGGTTGCTGCGTCCAGGTTTGATCTGGCAGACACCGAAGGAATTGATAGCCACTGAGGACATGACCACTGACACAGGCAATTTCAGCTTCTTCCCCAACAGCATACTGGTTCTTCTCATTCTATAAAAAAGAAACCAAAAAGCCCCTCAAAAATCTGTGGTAATGAGATGACATTGTTAAAAGAAACAATGATAAAAACTGCATGATATGATGGAATGAATGTGGGCTTTTTCTAATCTGAAATATGAGTCATCCACTCACCTGTATAATTACATGTTTGTCCAGCTGCACTAACTGATGTCATGGTTGCAAAAGAAGGATTCAAGGACAGCTGTTAGAAATGGACTTTACCTTGCCTTTGCTTCAGTTGCTGGTAGACTTTGGTGGACTAGAACCCCACAACATCCCACATACACAGCAACACACTCACTAGCACATTAGCTAACTTGGGTGTCAGGCACATGTAGCAAAGAAGCTGTAAAACTTCCCAGCTCTGCAATTACTGCACTTTCCTTCTACATCATCCGTTTTTCATGCTCACCCTGATAAAACCATTTTCTGGTGGGTCTGGCCTGGAGCATCCAGACACAGGTTCACCAATCAAGACGTCCTCTTCTCTCCTGGCTTCATCATCATTTATACAAGGAGCACCTCTGAAAAGCAAGTATTTGCTGGTAAGCATGTATCTTAAGTATTGCGTTACCAAGTAACAATGCCATAATGTCAGGAACTTGGACAGGAATGCTGTGAGTGTGTCCTGTCCTGTTCTCAACCCCCTTGTCCCCTCTGTCCCTGTCCTCCCCCTCAGTGAAAAAACTTTATTCTGTTAAATCAAATGCGGTGCACATCGAAAGTTGTTCACAGGTGTTGACAGGAGGGAGATTGTGAGAGCACTAAAAAAGTCATAGATACAGGACTACAATTTCTATCAAAATAACTCATGAAATATTTCTATAGAGTAAGAAAAAAAAAGGCAAAGAACAGCATATGGAAAAAGGCTCTAAGGAGTCCACATGATTTAGCTGGGTGTAAAACAGTGTAATCAAAACCCGCCTGTTGCCATCGGGCAATGGTTAAAGGAGGGTCATCTCTGTGAGCATGGAGCTGTACAGCCTGTGGTGTCCAACTGAGATGAGTAACAAAGAACTGTGGAGCCATTGCTTTTAATCCTCTCCTATCCACTCCAGAATCTCCTCCACAGTCATTACAGTGGTGATGATGAAAATCCTGCTCCAGTTTTTAGTTCCAGTTGAAAAACTATCTGTACAAAGGCTTGCTCTTGAAGATCCAAGAAACTGAGCCAGTTTGGGGTTGGAGTTATTATTTTAAGTTGAAACCATGCAAAACTGGTACATCAGACATACTCAAAGAGGGAATATGAAAAGCTTGGTAGTTCCAGCAGAATTCTTTCTGAGACTGAGTTCAGACCTAAACCGCTAAGTGAAGATGATGTGATATTAAAAAGATGGAAACTGCTAACTCCCATGAATGGAAGCAACTGAATTCTCCATGGCTTTGGACAAGAAGCCATGCAAAGCAGTGTAAGAGATCACAGAATCATGGAATGGCTTGGGTTGGAAGGGACCTTAAAGATCATCTTGTTCCACCCCCGCTGCCATGGGCAGGGACATCTGGCACTAGACCAGGTTGCTCACTGCCCCATCCAGCCTAGTCTAGAATACTTCCAGGGATGGGGCATCCACAACTTCTCTGGGCAACCTCTTCCACTGTCACACCACCCTCATAGTGAAAAATTTCTTCCTAATATCTAATCTGAATCTACACTCTTCCAATTTGAAGCCATTACCTCTCGTCCTATCACTACATGCCCTTGCAAAAAGTCCCTCTCCAACTTCCTTGTAGGTGTCCTTCAGATACAGTAAGGCCTCTATAAGGTCTTCCCGAAGTCTTCCCTTCTGCAGGCTGAACACCCCCACCTCCCAGCCTGTCCTCATAGGAGAGGTACTCCAGCTCGCTGATCATCTTTGTTGCCCTCCTCTGGATCTGCTCCAACAGGTCCATGTCTTTCTGTGCTGAGGACCTCAGAGCTGAAGGCAGTACTCCAGGTGGGTTCTCAGCAGAACAGAGTAGAGGGGCAGAATCAATTCCCCTGACCTGCTGGCCACACTTCTTTTGATGCAGCCCAGGATGCAGTTGGCTTTCTGGGCTGCAAGGGTGCATTGCAGGCTCATGTTGAGTTTCTCATCAACCAACATCCCCAAGTCCTTCTCCTCAGGGCTGCTCTCATTCCATTCTCTGCCCCGCCTGTATTTGTGCTTGGGATTGGCCTAACCCAGGTGCAGGACCTTGAACTTGGCCTGGCTGAACTTCATGAGGTTTGCGTGGGCCCATGTCTCAGTCCTGTCCAGGTCCCTCTGGATGGCATCCCTTCCCTCCAGCGTGTCAACCGCGCCACACAGCTTGGTGTTATCAACAAACTTGCTGAGGGTGCACTTGATCCTACTGTTCATGTCACCAACAAAGGTGTAGAACATAACTGGTCCCAGTACTGACCCATGAGGAACACCACCCATCACTGATTTCCACTTGGACATTGAGCCATTGACCGCAAACCTTTGAGTGAAGCCATCCAGCCAGTTCCTGGATCACCGAGTGGTCCATCCATCAAATCCGTGTCTCTCCAATTTAGAGACCAGGATGTGATGTGGGACAGTGTCAAACAGTTTGCACAAATTCAGGTAGATGACACCTGTTGCTCTCCCTTTACCCACCAAAGCACACTTTGGTATGTTATTTGTCAGCCATTTTCTAGGAGTAAACAATGAGTAAATCCAAACTTGAAGGAAGTTGTGAAGATTTTCAGACATTTCCTTCTCTCAGCCCCACCACAGAAGTTCAGACAGGAGCTGTCCGCTATTTCTCCTAAAGCCATTCTGGAGGGCTCCTTAACTCTGTCCCATGATTATGGAGGTCTTTTGATCTACCGTTTTCTTACCTGTCCCTGAATGCAGAGACATAACAGTCCTCCTCTTCTTCCTGTTCACCTTCACAGGGCTTCCCACCGTTCATCGGGGAGGGGTTATTACACTCCCGGGTCCTTCTTGTTTTGAAGGAAGCATCACAAGAACTCCATTCAGACCAGCAACCCCAGCGGCCATCTACAGCAACTGCAAGAATTAAAAGAAATCCAACCATTTGGTAGATCTGTACCATACACAGTATTTCTCCTAAGGCCACATACAAGAGGGATGGTGGTAAATTCATAATAGCCATTTCCAAAGTATTTAAAATTGTTACTGTTAAGGGAGTAGATTGTCTCTAGAATGTGAAGTTTTCCAAAGAGATAGTCAGCCAAATTCCAGCTGCTTCATGAAAACCTAAAATACATCTTCCTTTATAGTTTTGTTTGCAAGTAACATTCAAACACAGAAGCAGCTTATTTTCTACTTCTATTGCACACACAGATGTTTGAGTTTTCATGGTGCTGACAACCTTTTTAGATAGCTCAGTATTCAATGAGTTATTAAATAAATCTGAGCTCTAACCCCCAAATCTACATCCCATGTAAGCTAAATTAAAACACTACTGTCTTTTTTTAACCCCTGGGGTATTTTGTCTGTGCCACCATGAAGCATATATAAACATTTTTATTTACACACACTTTATTTTCTGCACACAATACACTTTCTTCATTCATCTCTATCTGCATATATTCAATTGTTCATTTCTTTCAAAGTATTTCAGATAGTGAGGCCTGTAGCTGCCTAAGGGACTTTTCTTTCTGACCCTTTTTTATCCTGGAATATAAATTCATGCAATAGTAAGTACAATGCTGTAAGTCTCTTCTGTTTTCCATAGGTATTACACAAGTGCCAATTTCATTCAAAAACCAGTTTTCATGAAATTGTTCTTTAAAGTCTTCAGAATGATGATTATGTTCCCTCTCCTTAAGACAACTGAGTTTTCCTTTTACATTTTAATCAACGACTTTTATCTCCATTAGCCATTTAGTCTTAGTGTATAATAGGCTTCAGGGAAAAATAAGGAATGGATTTCTTAATTTTTGCATCAGTTATCTTTGGTCTCAACTTCATCCTTATTGCTGAACCACTTATTTTCTATTATCTTAATTATGTAGCTAAGGAATCTTTTACCATGTCTTACAATTCCTTTTAAGCTGTGCCTATTCCGTTTAATTTTTTATTTTTATTCCTACATTTATTCTTATGCTTTCTGACCATCACCGTGTGGTAAAGAAGTGCTATAGATTTAGTGAGGGAAGGTTATGTCAGTTTAATCTTTGACAAATAGATGCCAGAAGGACCATATTTATATTATGACAGTACCACCCCAAATACCTGATTTGTAACCCGGAGCTCGTGTCTCACAGCTTTTGCCGTAGGTGCCAGCCTGGCACAGGCAGAGGCACTCCATCCCAGAAAGGACAGGCCTGCCGTTGTTGGGGCATGGGGCACACTGGCAAGGGTCAAACCTGCCCACGTATTCTCTCAGGGCTCTCCTCAGGTTGCGACGTTTGGTCACGGCACATGGCACGTTCCTCACCAAATCCACGATGGGCGACACCTGATAGACAGCCATTCGGTAAGTGGTTACCTAGACACAGCGGGGTCCTGCTGGGGGTAGCTGCAGGATTTTAGAGGCACTAGAGCCTACACGTGAAGGTATATCACGCAGGAGTCAGGCTTGTTGAAAGTTATGGGTGCTTTAAAGGGATGCTTTAAAGGAGCGTGACAGTGCTATACATCTATATTACACTGTTTATATTGCTTTTATTTCCCCAATTTAGGGCTCTGTAAGCCAATGGAAAACCAACCAAGTGGGATACCATGTCTAAAAATTCAGAACACGGGGTTTGCTTACACCTGTTCCCTGCCACGTGAGACATCCCTGCACTGCCTTCAGGAGCTCAGCAGCTGCGGTGGGAGAAAGCTCACCGTATGCTGCGTGCGGGCAGGTTTTGCTGTTTACCTCCAGCCTTTGCCACTGCTGCTGAGCGTCTGCGGTGCCAGCCCCAGGCAGCTCAGCGCGCTCACAGCAGTGCCGGCACGCTGCAGTGAACAAGCAGGATGGACACACCAGGGGACTGCTGGTTTTGTTCGGTTTATCTGTGTGCCATACCTTGCACCCGAGGCCTGACAAGGGAAAGGGCCCAGGGAGAAGAAGATGCCTTCCTGCACAGTGACTAACCCCTGCCTGGGCCTGAGCTCCTGCTGCTGTATTCCTTGTATTCCTTCGCTTGTATTCCTTCCCACGGCTCTCACTGCCTGCGGGTGATGCAAAGCTGGTGTGGCTTATAAACCGACATGAACAAGAAGTAGTTCAAATAAATGTTGTGTATGTTTATGTTATAGCCATGCGTATGTGCATTCATGTCACACACAGCATTGTCCCGATTTAAAAGACAGAACACCTGCAGAGCTCTCAGAAGAGCTGCCAGCTGCTGAACGCTTTGCTATCTCAGTGCCTCCTCTTCTTCCTCTCTTACCTCAAAGTCAATCACCACAGGATTGTCCTTTGTTGATTCCAGCCAGTTTGTGAAGACTGTGTGTCCTGGAAAGGCCCCCTTTTTCTGCCAGGCCAGAGCTGCTGCATACTCTGATATGCCACCTTTTACCAGAGAGAATGACCGTTCGGCTGACTCTAAAATGGAACCTGAAAGGGGATTTCATCACAGTATTATCAGACAAAGGCCTCCGAAGACAGCAGATGTAGCAACAGAGTTCTAGGAAAAGCGAAGAGGATTTAAAAGAATAAATTGAGATTAATTTTTTTAAGACACCCATGGAATAACAAAGTCTAAGCTCAGAAAAACAATCCCTGCTATGACAGCAGTCTGTCCTAGGCTTCCAAATGAATGTGTCTGAGACCTTGGCCATGGAAATACTCAGAACTACACAAGACACTTGTGGAAAATGCCAGGGATACAGCAGGCTCCTCTAGAAGAACACACTGCAAGGCAGGATCTTTAGTGCCAGCTGTTAACATCTGAGAAATTGAAATTGATCATAAAATGAGGACAAAAACATAGTGGAGGTGATGAAAACTATGTTTTTAGTGATGCAGAACATGACTCTTGCCACTCTTACATAAAATACACCAACTTTCTGCAGTTTCTGAGACACATTTCTGGCACTGCCAGGGAACTCCTGCACCTAGATGTCTGCTGGACATGAGGAAGATGGAAGGGGAAGGTCGGGGAGTGTGTTATTGCTGCCCAACTCTCTCAATGAGCCCTCCGCAACCCTTAAAGAAGATCAGGAACTCAGTTATGAACACACATTTCTGGTTGTGCCCATTTCCCTGTTCAGTATGCCTGGCCCTGGACCCAGGAATGTTTGTCAAATCTATGATTGACTGGAAGAGCCAGTGCCACTGGATCCCCAATGGCGGTGCTCCAGAGCAGAGAAAGAGTGCTCCCACATCATAATTTCTTTTGTAAATAAGACGATGTTTCCACTGCTTGCTTCAGAGACAAACAGTGAAACACTGGTTCCTCGGACAGTGATGGAAGGGCATCTGTAGTTCAACAAAGCCAGGAGGTCACCTAGCTGAGGGGCATGGTGAGTAGCAGGACATGGACCCTGTTCTCATCATGGTCACCTTCATGTTTCACAGTCATCCTGTTTGTGGTGCATCTGGTACTGACTTTCTTTTTCTTCCGGAAGAACACACGCTTTGTTGTTTCTGTTCGAACACACTCTGTTGATTCATCAACTGCCAGACCTAAAAATACCACACAGCAGCAGCTTCATCACCATAACCATGTTATATGACAGCACCATGCCCCGAGGGTCCCACATCGAGGTGAACCATGGCAGGTCCCCCAGGTCCTCACCCACCACTGGAGACTTCAATGATGCAGGCACCTATTTCTCCAGGTACAAGCAGCATTGGACTGAGTCGTGCTTACCATCCCTTTTAGGTACCCTCCCATACCCACGCAAGTTACAGCAGTGGCATTAAGGATCACAGCTTTTAACCTTAGATTTCCACTTTTGTGGTATTGTCTTTTCATTTTGACAGTCTGGCAGTCAGGGGAATATTTTTAGATTAATTTCTAATCAATTAGATTTTAGATTTCTAATCAATTAGATCAATTTAGATTTTTAGATTAATTTCTCATCAATACCAACAACTTTCTTTAATGACTGTATCCCCAAAAGTACCACGTAGGCTTCTCAGACCTCAGTCCCACACTGAAGTATGCTGGAACACCTTTTTCTGGTGGCACCTGGTCTTGATCGGATGGTCTTAAGAGGTTTGCCTGAACACAGTGTTGTTTACCAAGTAAAGAACCTCTTGAACTTTTCAAATTAAGACAGTGTAGAGCAAAAATTTCCTCTTGCTCTATATCTAGGTGGTGTGAGTAATTCATGGGTCTGTGCAGGTTTAAAGGATTTTTTTTTGCTGTTGGAGAATGTACTATGTGGTCTAAGACCTAAAAACAGCAATAAGAAAAGCTGGTGAAAACCCCATGGTATTCTTTTGTTAAAGATTACATACCCGAGTTCTTCAATTCCTCAGAGCTGTACTGATAAAGAATGTCATAGGAACCACCCATCTTCCCAGAGTTGTAATAATGAGTACCAAAATCATCAAATATTCTGCTGTATAAAGCGTAGTTGTACTCCAGGGGCAGGTGGTTAAGTGCTTTTAGGAAGATGTCTGAGAGTTGCAGATCTGACTGCTTCATTGTGAAGTTTGCAACAGAAATGACTTTATGGACTCTAATAAAGTTGGAATTCTAGAAACAAGAAAAGGGGAGTCTTAGCACCTTCATAGGTAGTTAGCTGCAGAAAGTAGAGGAACCAAAAGTATGTCCTGAGATACATTGCAAGAACTAAATTATCCTGTTTATCATGCTGCTTTAACCATGAGGAAACCAGCCCTGGAGTTTTCAAGAGCCTGTTGATGTTCTTGAGGACAATGCTTATCACTCTCTTACATTGTGGGAATATATAGCATTCCAATAAAAATTAGTATTCCCCGAGCACCTACCGAGCAGACAGCAAAAGGATCCCTGCCATAACAAATACAGCAGCAATTGATAAGGCAACCAAAACTTTCAGAGGAAAGACTTCAGCTTATAAGCATGCATGGGTCATTTGCAACTAATCTGGTAAATGGGTATTTTGGATACTAACCCACTGCTATGAAGTTTCACAATTTATCAGTCTAAAACTAAAACACAGGGATAAAGATCTCATTAAGTTCAAGTGTCAGGCTGTTAATGTGTGAGGCAAAAGAAAAAAAGAAAAAAAAAAAAAGAAAGTCCAAAAACTGGAAAATGCCTTGTATTTAGAAAAAAAAAATATTGTTTTGAAACAGCTAGTTCATTTACTTTTGCAATGCTAGAGGCTGTTTATGTGGGAGTTTAACTAAATAGAAAGCAGAGGAGTAGAAAATACTCAAAGAAGGGATTTGTAAAGTGACAAGGGGAACTGATGGCACAAGGTCAAAGCAAAGAGATCAAGAGCAAGAGGAGTGGCGGTAAACTGAAGCAAATGACCAACCAGAGGATAGGAAATGTTCATTATAAAACAAGTTGTTACTGATTTATACATGGGTTCTTCTGCTGAATTTTCCTTTTGATAGGTTGGCTTTAATCCACTTCTGTCTCCAAGGTCACTTCGTTTAGAAGACACAAGGAGGCATCTAGATGGGGAGTTCTCCCAGCCAGGACTTAGCAACATAACGTGTGAGCTGGACCTCAACTCTCAGTTCTGCACAGCACTGCTCATTTCAGTGCTCTCATCTGCACACTGCAAAATCAGCTAAGGATACTCAGTTTTCTGCTGCAGTGAGAATAAGAATGGGAGAAATAGGGTAGGTACCAATTCCCAGTTTACATTCAGCTCCTAAACTACCCTGTGGTAACGTTATTTTTAACCGTCTGACCGTCAATTTTCATTTGTGCCAGCTAACATTTCAGTCATGACACACAAAATTGTGGGCCACATTGGGAAACACTGATTCTAAAACCGTAGTTGGTTTCAGCATACACTTGTGTGGTAAATGCGAATTTCTGCTTGACATGCATCTTGCATTTGCGCTGCCAGTAAGTCTCTTAAGTGCTGTAATTACTAACAATTTGCCTTGCAGTTGTCAAACCCAGTGATTTCTATGTTAAATCCATGAAGTACGCACAATGTTGGAAACCCTCACTTGTAGAATGATCCCAGAAAATTGAATTCCAAAGTGCTCAGTCATTTCTGGGCACATGTTCAACCATAGTGGTAAACCCTGGTGCCTGTCACAAGCTCGACCCATGAGTACCAGGTATTAATACAAAATATTAGTAGATCAGGGATGATTATTCCCAAAGAAAGCCTGGTCTAAATCAAGTGTGAGTACACGAGTTCAGATTTATTATACAAACTACTTCTTTGACAAAAAGCAGTCAAACACAAGCTGTGCTGATGTTGAAACCAGTAGTTTTAACTGGAAATTTTCTAACAAACCGGAGTTTCACGTGGACATGCTGATTAAGTAATCTTTCATCCCAAATATCACAAGCAGAGTTGCCACAGAATCATGCCTGTTCTTGCCTGACATCCCCAGGGATGGAGATGGCCTCCTATCTTTGAGCTCTCCAACTCAATTAACTACTGCCAGAAATACTAGGAACATGGACTAAGGGAATGGGCACAAATTTGGATACAAAGCCTTCAGAAGTCCTTTGATGTCACAGCATGGGAATCAAGTGATAAAAAAGTGAAGAAAATAGTATATATATATAAAACAACATGGAGCAAGATGCGCAAGATTAGTAAAGTAGTTTATAATTAAATGTGTTACATAACATTCCAGTCCTACTTTAAGAATCTTTCCTTATATTTAGTACAGCAAAGAGTGAGAGGTTGTCACCTGGGCGCCCTCTACACCCTAATAGGGCAATATTCAGATGTTTATGTAGAAACCCACCCAGTTTCTCTTCAATACAAAAGGAGGGTGATTAGCTGAGTTGCAGATCCCTGTGAAACTGCTGTCGCTTATGGATATGTTAGCTGAATCCCACCCTAGATGGTTAACATGATGCAAGCAGAAGACATCAGGAAGGTCATGAGGATGATCTTTAAGGATGCTTTCCATAGAGAGCAACAGCTCTTGATCCCCGGGTGTAAGAAATCAGGAAAGGAAAACAAGAGACCAGCATGTCTGAGTCAAGACTTGTTGATCAAACTACTGGGCAAGAAAGAAATGCACAGGCCGTGGAAGCCGGGACAGGTATCCTGGGAAGAGTACAGGGATGTGCCTGATTGCATGGGGATGGGGTCAGGAAGGCCAGGGCAGAGCTGGAGCTGAACTTGGCAAGGCATGCAAAGATTAATAAGAAGGGCTTAGAATTATATAATAGAATAGGCTTCTATAGGCACGTGAGCCAGAAAAACAAGGTCAAAGGAAGCTAACCCCTCCCTGGTGAACATGACTGGCAAGCCGGTAACAATGGGCAAGGAGAAGCCTGAGGTACTCAACAAATTTTTTGCCTCATTCTTCACTGGCAATCTCTCTTCCCACACCTCTCTAGTGGATGGACTGCAAGGCAGGGAGTGGGGGAGAAAAGTCCCTCCCACTGTAGGAGAAGATCAGGTTCGTGACCACCTGAGGAACTTGAACATACAAAAGCCTATGGGACCTGATGAGATGCATCCCAGAGTCCTTGAGGGAATTGGCTAATGTAGTTGCCAACCCGCTCTCCATGATATTTGAAAAGTCATGGCAGTCAGGTGAAGTCCCCGGTCACTGGAAAAGGGGAAAACATTACACCCATTTTTAAAAAGGGTAGAAAGGAGGACCCTGAGAACTACCGAACTGTGAGCCTCACCTCTGTGCCTGGGAAGATCATGGAACAGATCCTCCTAGAAGCTATGGGAAAGCACATGGAGGACAGGGAGGTCATCTGAGACAGCCAGCATGGCTTCACCAAGGGCAAGTCTTACGTGACCAACCTAGTGGCCTTCTATGATGGAGTGACATCAGTGGACAAGGGAAGAGCTGTGGATGTCAACTATCTGGACTTCTGTGAGGCCTTTGGCACAGTCCTCCACTTAACCATTAGGACAAGTTAGCAAGGCCTCCAGCAAACTTGCGTCATAGGAAATCTTAATATTAGGACTGACATTTTTGTAAAAGATTCATTCTATTTGTAGTCGAACTCCTGGGTTTCAACAGGCCTTAGTTTTGGTCAGTTCTATGGCCTTTTCCATGCAGAAGTACAAACAATAGCCCACCTTTTACTGCCATTAAACTATAAAAGTACATAATCTTATATCCCACAGTATTCATCTGCATTAACAGTGCAGAATTTTATGGGAAAAAGATTTTCCATTCTCAGAAACTTTTCTGTGGATGTGTTATTTCTGAGCTTTTCTTTATGACCAAGTGCACCTTGGAAGCCACGAGACACCAATATGCAAGTTAGTTACCAAATCAAAAACTAACATAGGTTGATTCCCAGTACATGCATATGTATAACATTCCTGAGTGCACTTCATTTATTTATTTATTTTTTTAAGCGTGGTTTGCTACTGTTACTATGTGGCGTTCTGCCTTCTTAATCTATAACTGGGACAGGGA